TAGTTAGCAGCAGATTATGACATAAAGAGAGAAGGTGCTAAGACAGCCATGATGGTCTAATTGCTCAGTTCAGTAGGGGAAGGAGGAGTAACTGTTCATTAATATGTCAGTGCAACCCAGCACCTGGTATAGTGCTTATCATATTTGTAGGAGCTTACTATAGTTTAGGCTAAGTAAAAAATGACACTTTTCTCTCATTTTCTTCCTTGATTTGTCACTCCTCTGCACCCAGTCATTCCTCGGCAATCAAAGACAAGAATCTTCTATCACTTCCTCAATCATATCAATACTAGAATTTTCCACTCAACTCCACTTAGTTAATAATAAACCATACCTTAAACCTCACCATCTCTCTTAACTGCTTCACTTTTAGAAGCCTCTCTGAAATGTCTCTCCCTGATCACTATATCTCCTATTCGATAGGCAGCAATTTTCAACCTTTTTCATCTCATGGTGCACATAAACTAAAATTCTGCAGCACACCCAAAATTATATATTTTGCCAATCTGACCAAAAATAGGTATTATTTTGATTGATTTGCCAAAACAAAAACAAAAAAACACCCACACAATAATTACCTACCCTTTTTGCTCCAAAGTGACTTTTAAAAAAATCAGGTGCCTATACTTGTACATAAGGATTTCTGGTACCAAGAATTAACAAAACAGACTCCACCTTATTATGCAATGTGACCAATCACATGCAACTCTATTATATGACCTACACATTTATGGTTAAAGACAGGGCATTCATGTCAGAGGGCTGTTGTTGTGTTGGCTGTTGTCATTTTTCAATTTGACAATCTAAGCGAAAAGAGGTCAGTGCCTCTGACTAAATAGTCAGGTATTGCATGTTTTAAAATTTCTTGTGGCACACCAGTTGAAAAATGCTGTTCTATCTTCTTGCCAACCCTCTCACTTCTGGTATGCTCTTTTCCCTCATTTCCTTTCTGTACTTCCTTGTCTCTACCCAGCCAGCATCCCATGGTTAATTATTATAATAAATACTTCTATTTCTATGTTTATCTAATCCTTTCATAATATATGTACAGGCATAAATGTACCAGTTACATTAACAGACCACATTGCTTGTTTCCCCCATTCCTATTCTTTATCTAACCAGCTATATTCTCTCCCAAGAATACAGCTGGAAAACGTCATGTCTAACTTTAATTGGGCCCTCCACACAAATAAAATTATAACAGTTTATCTCTTATATCCCATGATCAATCTCTCCTTCTGTAGCCTATATCCCAGTAAGTGGCAAGACCTCAAGTCTTTTTCTCCTTTTATTATGTTTCTCTAAGAGTCCACAAATGAAGAATTGGTTCACATATGATTGTTTCCCTTGTCTGATTCTATTGTCAATTCATGGCCATTGCGCATCATCACTTGACCAGTCTATTTTTTTTCTTGACCTGCTTCTCTCACAAGTCTATTTCTTACATATTCTTAGACAAGTATGGACCTAATAGTGGAAAGGATTCAAGTTCTACAGCATGCCAGTAGACTATATAGAGAATATATATATATATATATATAATCTATGTGTATATGTGTGTTTGTATATATGTAAATAGATGTATATATATGTAAATACATATATATACACACATTATATTCTCTAGCCACAATGCAATTAAATCAGAAATTATTATTTAAGGAGATGAACTTTTAACATCTTCTTATGAAACATTTTTAACACATACAAGGGTAAATGAGGTAGTATAAGGACTGCTTCAGGTATCTTCAATAATTATTTAACCCATAGTCAATCTTATCACCTATACACCCACTTCCATCTGAATTTTCCAGAAGCAAATTTATCTATAAATATTTGCCACTAACTCTATTAAAGGGCTCTTTTAATATAATCATAATATCTATACTAATAAAAGGATAATATGCTAATTAGACAGGACATCTTTCTGGACAAAGCCATGGTGGCGGGGCCGAGGCAGAGGCAGTTAGGGGTGATCAGGCCGGCAGGGGAGAGCAGTTACGGGGATTAGGCCAGCAGGCAGGTGAGTGGTTAGGAGCCAGCGGTCCTGGATTGCAAGAGGGATGTCCCGGATTGGAGAGGGTACAGGCTGGGCTAAGGGACCCCCACCCCTGTGCACGAATTTCATTCACCAGGCCTCTAGTTATTCTATATTTTTAAAAATATATAAAATTTCCTCAAATATCCAGTGTTCAAATTTTTTTCTGATTAACTCATATGTTTTCTTAAATTTGTTCAAGTCAGGATCCAATAAGATTCATATATTGATATGCATTTGATGGATTATGACTTTTAAGTTCCAAGTAGGTACATTATTAAGGCCCAATATAACTGAAACTTTAAAAACCACACTTCCATATAAGTCCTAGGTCACAAAAAAATGATAATGAAACAGTGAAAATAATTATAACTGAGCAAAGTGAAAATATAAAAATAGCTAAAACTTTGAAATGCAATGAAAGCAATCATTTAAGAAAAAATTTACTTTTACATTTCAGTGCTTAGATTAGAAACAGAAATGGTGAAAAATAATGATTTAAACATCCAACTTAAAAATTGGGGGTTAAAGGTTTGTGGGGGCATGGTGGAATATAAACAAAAGAAAGAGGAGGAAGAAATAAAGAGATAGATTATTGAAATAGAAAACTAAAATATAACACAGAATTAATGTGTTGGAATGAAATAGCCCCAATTTTTGACACCATTCTCATTCATAGGAAGGGTCTCTTTCCTCTCCTCTTTAATCTTTGCTCTGTGACTGCTCCAACCAAGAGTATGGAAGAAGTGATGCTCTGCCAGTTCTTGTCTAGCCTTTAAGAGGCATTGCAATTTCTACTTCCTGTTGCTTGGAACGTTGTTAGTGTTCTGGCCAATAATGTTAGCAGTCTTAACACTGTTGGAGAGGTCCTGTGCTAAATGAATAGAGATAGAAGCCTCTCTAAGCTTAGCCCTGTAGTTTTCCTAGCCAAAGCATCAGGCATGTGAGTGAAGCGACCTTGGACCCTCCAGACCAGACCAACTGCCAACTGAACACCAGCACATAAACCCAGTCATAACCGCATGGAGCAAAAGAACGACCCAGGCAAACGACCTGAATTCCTGACCCACAAAATCATAAGATAATGAAACAGTAGTTTTTTTTAAAACCAATATGTTTTGAGAGTAGTTTATTACTCAGTAAAAGATAATGAGATGAACATAGCAAATAAGCAATAAACAAAGCAATGAACAAAAGCAATAAACAAAGTTAAAAGTTATTTCTTTGAAAAGACTAATAAAATTTCTCTATAATTTCTAGTGGTATTTGCCAAGGGGGGAAGGGAATAAAACTAAGAGCAAGCATATTAAAAGGAAAAGGATTATATATCAGAGAGGGGAGTCTGGATTAAAGCCATTAGGCAGGAACAGGACAATGTGATGTACTAGAAAGTACTTGGTTGAGTTATGAATTCATCCATCAGTTAACTTTGAGGAACTTATTTAAATCAATCAGACCTCAGTTTTATTAAAAAGAAAACACCTAAAGATCCTTCTATAGGTATGATCCCTGGATGTGACTTTTCAGTGTATGTTTAGTCTCTGCTATTAAGAGGGGGTATAGGTAAGAAATGGTGGTATTTAGGGCAAGAAACAAAGCATTCAGAAGGTGACCAATCTTGCTTGCTCTCTTTGCTTAAGCTGGAAAAAAAAAAGTGGAGACTAACCTGCTTTTTTTTTCCCTTTTACAAAATTTTACTATGTATATGCAGGACTTCTTCACATCAAGAAAGTTAGTAAAAATCTGTTGAATTCATATAAGCACACAAAAAGATTTTTCCCAGTTTAAAAAAAAGTATCATTTAGGTCAATAGGCATCATGCCTACTATGAAAGCACTAATTTTCATTCTCATGTATTCTATAAAACACTGTATACTGAATTCTGGTTTTTGAAAAATTCTGAGGCTTGTGCAAATGACTTGTGCTGCAATATGATGCGGAGCAAGTGTTGATCCCAAACATGGCCACAACTTCTACCTCATTCTACATTTTCAACAGTAACTTAAAATTTTCCTAAGACTTGTGTCTTTCTGAGGATTTTTTAAACATAGAATTTAGTTAATAAGTTTTGTGGCATGTTAAATTTTTGCTGATAGCTTGGAATGATTTTGAAGCATATGGATAGAGGGCGTGGAAAGTGCCACAGTTCTATCAAAATGTTCTAGTTTGTTACCTTAGATAAAATAAAAATCTCATGTTTTAACCTTAGTTTCTGGTGAAAAAAAGTTTATTAGTTTAATGCCTTTTAAAATTCTAAAATATTTGTACCTCAAATCTGAAATTTAGTGTATAATAAAAAAACTAAACCAATTGACATAAGGAACAGCTTATAGGCTACAATGAAAAGATTAGGCCATTCTAAAAAAAGAATATGATTGGGATTTTTAAAAATTTCATCTTATATTAGCAAACCCATTTCAGATATTTATTTTTCAATGAGAATGAATATTTTCATGGCAAAATTAAGAAACATTTATAATTTAATATACACATATAAACATGAGAAGCATCACATCCATTAATAAATTAATCTTTCACCTTACTCTGAACATTAAAAAATCTTTAAATAGATATAGCTATATAATATGATGTATTTATGTAAGAGTTCTCTTACAATTGAGATTAGGAATTAAATCTTTACACATTACTATTTCAGAAAATAACAATAAAAAAACACTAGCTAGATGCTTTCTTATTTTAAAGTGTCTTCTTCATCTTTGTGAGCTAGCTGGTAGGTATAAAGCATTTGTAATTCCTTTCCAAGTTATTTTTAGGGTGCTTTAGCTTTATTAGGATGTCCACCAAATGCTAAAACATTAAATATTGAGTTTTCTCTTCTATGTCTACTTATAGATAGATTCCTGGTTTCAAGACTCAGTGCACACATGTAAACACAATTACTAAAAACAAGGCAACAAGTGAGATGCAGGGATAAAATAAAAACTCAGGCAATCTGACTCACAATCCAGCATTCAACCCTCTATAACTTGCTGTTTTTCTTTGTCCTCTTTGCTGTGAACCAAGATACTTGTTCTTTAGCAGGGTGTTTCTGCTGCAAAGCCAGTTGCTACTGCATTATGCAATGAAGTCAGAAGCCTGAGCTTGTGACATCAATATAGGTTGCTATGGTAACTCCTTTCATAAGTATTACAGGTTCATTGAAGGCTCAAAAGAGGACTTTAGCAGAGTAGCAAGATAGCTGGCATTATTCAGCCTAAATTACAACAATAATTGCTGCAAAAAATCGTTCATATAAGCTATACTAAATATAGATTTTTTATGTGTTTGTGTCATTTTGGAAGTCATTTTTCTAATATATGTGGGTTTTTGTTAATGAAAACTCTCCAGTAAAAATAGCATTGCCACTGATTATATGTCACAGATCCACATGATCCAGGCCAAAGAGAGTCTCACTGTCACAGTTAATTATTCCACACATCGTGTCATTCCAGAAGTCAAGTAATGTTATGCATTCTATGTTATGAATAAACTCATAACAGTATGATTTTTCAATTCAGTTTTCCCATTACTGGAATTATAAAAAAGGTTGCACAGAAAATGTTGCACATATGAAAGAAGTTTTAGATGACTTTTCCCAGTAAATGTATCTATTTTTAACAAAATAATAGTAAAGGCCACCTTTTTATTGCACATGCTTATTCCCTAGAATAATCTCGCCAATGCCTCCATTTAAATGGTTAAATACCCTCCCTGTGTAGGAGATATTTAGATTTTTCACAATCAAATTTTTTAAATCTGAATTTAAAACAGATCTAAATAATTGCAAAGCTTTTCTTCCATATCCCCTTTTTTAAAATCCTACACTATGGCCAACATGAGAAACTTAGTTCAATTCTGTAGGCATTTGGGCTAGATATTGGAGTTACAATTTATTGGACATTGGGTAGAAGATGCATAAGGCATAGGCCTTTCCATGAAAAGCTCACATAGGTAATAGCAGGAACAATAACAAATAATAGTACTGAGTACTTGCCATGTGCCATACACCATGCCAGACACTTGACATCCATTACTTTTTTATATAATCCTCACAATAATGCACTAAGGGAGACAGATATTATTATCTCCATTTTATAGGTTAGAGAACTGAAGCTCAGAGGGTTAAAGTCACTTGCCTAAAGTCACACAGGTAATTAGAAACACAGCTGGCATTTGAACTTCAAACTAACTGACTCCAGATATTTATGATGTTTTCACGGGAATTAAAGGTAATTTCTTGTTACTGTGTTAAAAATTAAAAATTGCATCATAATCCTACTGAGCAAGGATTACTTGACATAGAATTCATTGAAGCAGAAAGCAGGTGATGGTCTTCAGGTTGACCTCACAAATACTTTGATGACTGGCTTTTCTGTTTTTGTAACACTCAGCACTTCAAAAAGTGTTTGCCTGAAGATATTTTTATTCCCTTAGAACCAAAACAATTGGTTCTATAACTTTTCTTAGACAGTTACATTGATATTCTAATATGCTCCAAGCTACTATACTATTTTCAAATCAGATAAATATATTAATAATTTAATGTGTATAGTGTGTTGCAGTTTGCAAATCATACTAAATATTCATCCCTTCAGCATTTATTTGTTGAGCTACTATGATGAGTCAGGCTTTGTGCTAAATGTTGAATATGAAGTTACTGCAAAAAAATAAAATGGTCCTCAAATTAAAGGAGTAGATAGTCTATAAATGGGAGAAAGGCATTAATCAACTAATAACATAAATAAATGTAAAATTGAAACTGTCCAGACAGTAGAAAATAAGAAAGGCTGAAAGTAGATAATCTAAGCATTCAACCCTAAATGATGTAAAGAGAGCAGAAGAAACACAAAAGGTAAGGAAGAAAGAATAAAAGGAAAAAGGAAAACCTAAGTAAATGTAATGCAATATATGATGGGAATATCAACAAAGCCAAGCTGGTTCTTTGAAGAGATAAATAAAATTGACAAACCTCTGTCAAGATTGATCAAGAAAACATAGGCAAGGCAAAAGTAAACAATATTTGATATGACAAAGGGAACACAATTAGAAATACAGCTGAGAATGAAAAGGAAATAAGATATAATGATCTTTATGTCAATACATTTGCAAACATAGATAAAAAGGGACAAATAAAATTGATTAAGAAGCACTAAAGAAATTGAATTAAAAATATTAAATCTTCCCAGATAGGAAGCATCAATCATAGATGGTGTTACAAGTAAATCCAGTAAAATTTAAAAATAGATAACTCCAATCTTACAAACTCTTCTAAATAATTAAAAAAAAAAGAGGGAACTATCCCAATAAAGTATTTTGAGTCTAGTGTAATTTAATCAAAATAAAAACTAAACAAGAGTAGTATGAGAAAAGAAAACTAAATATATATCCTATGAACAAAAATACAAAAGTCCTAAACAAAGTATAAAACCCAGCAATGTAATTAAATGCTGTGTCCCTGCTCTTCTTCCAAGTTCAACCATTATAGTATTTAACCTTTTATTTTCCACTTCTTACTTTACATTTCATTAAGTATATCAAACTGTGGTGTTCCCATAGACATACCTTACATTTCACACCTCTGTGCATTTCTTAATAATGTTCCAACTACCTAGACCTGCATTCCTCATTTCTTTATCTAGATAACTCTTATTTATCTTTTAAGAATCACATCTTCCCTCTCTCCTTCTGGTCAGAATTTTTTCTTATGATTTACAATAAACATACAATAAAGTATTTTAATAGGTGTCTTTCCCACAGAGGACCATATGGTCACAGATCATGTCTTTTTTATTTTATTTTTTTAATTTTTTTCTTTATTGATTAAGGTATTACATATGTGTCCTTATCGCCCCATTGTCCCTCCCACCCCCCACTAGAAAGATAAATATCACATGATCTCACTCATTTGTGGAATATAATGAACAACATAAACTGATGAACAAAAACAGATCCAGAGACAGAGAAGCATCGGTCAGACCGCCAAACCTCAGAGGGCAGGTAGGGGAGGATGGGGGTAAGGGGGAGAGATCAACCAAAGGACTTGTATGCATGCATATAAGCCTAACCAATGGACACAGACACCAGGGGGGTGAGGTCATGTCTTTTTTTAAATCTATCAACTCAGCTATTAATAATATGTCCTGGGCCCTAGCAGGTTTGGCTCAGTGGATAGAGCATCAGCCTGTGAACTGACGAGTCCCTGGTTCAATTCCAATCAAAGGCACGTATCTCAGTTGCAGGCTCGATCCCCCATAGGGGTCATGCAGGAGGCATCTAATTGATGATGTTCCTCTCTCATCGATGTTTCTATCACTCCATCCATCTCCTTTCCTCTCTCTCTAAAATAACTAACTAACTAAATAAATACATATATACATAAATAATATGTCCTGGCACATAGTAGGTGTCTGGAATAGAGCAAAATCTTCTAAATAAACTTCATTCATGAAGTTTGTGTTTCTGTTGTATAGTAAGTCATCAGGCAACCCAGCTTGGTGATATGGGTCCATTCCTTGTCCACTTGGCCTTGTCTCTGCCAGCTCCGAGGCCTGGGCCTTGGTTGTGACCTCTCCTCTCAGCTTCCTATTCCAGGGATCTTTCATGGTTCCATACAAATTTTATGACAGTGTGTTCTATTCCTATAAAGAATATCATTGGAATTTTGATAAGGATTGCATACAATCTGTAGATTATTTTGTATCCTGAAAATATACTAAATGCATTGATTGGTTCTAAGAATTTTTTGGTGAAGTCTTTAGAGTTTTCTATATCTAATACAATGTCACCTGCAAATAATAACAGTTCTATTTCTTTCCTTTCTAAATTGGATGTGGGTTTTTTTTCTTCGCTTGCCTAATTGCTCTGGACTTGCCTGATTGATAAGACTATGTTGAATAGAAGTGGTGAAAGTGGACATCCCTGTCTTGTTACTTGTCTTAAAGAAAAAGCTTTCAGCTTCTCAACATTGAGTATGATGTTAGCTTTTGGGCTTGTCATATGTGGCCTTGTTATCTCTATACTCATGTTGTTACAGGTTTTATTATAAGTGGATGGTGTATGGCAAAGGGAGAGCATGAAGATAGCACCTGTCCCCTGGGTTTGTGGAAAGGATTGCAGTTGGCTCTTTGATGTGTGTTTAATTAGAAGCCTTCCCCTCAGGTCAATGTTTTAAGGTAAACCCACTGATCATGGAGTATAATTCTTTTAATGTATTGTTGAATTTAGTTTGCTAGAGAGGGAAGGGAGAAGGGAAGACCAGAAGAGATTAAACAAATAACTTAAATACATATATGCATAACACTTAGACACAGACGATAGTGCAGTGAAGGCCTGGGTGGGGGGAAGGGCAGGGTGGAGGGGCTCAATGGGAAAAATATGGGGGACATCTGTAATACTTCCAGCAATAAAGATAAATTTGTTAAAATAGGCAGGATGTGATCTTTGAATCAATTTATTATAGCTAATATTTTCAGAGGTTACGTCTTCTCATGTCAGTCAAAGAAGAGATTTAGCATAAATTACCCAGAAATTTATGTTCTTTGAGTTTTTAGTTAGCCTTATGTAATCTCATTTTATTACACAATGCAAATCCCAACTTCATTCTCTCCCTAGATTCATCCAGCAGGCTAAAGTCATCCAGGAAGTCTGCTATTTGAGAGGAGAGTAAGTGGGAAGGACCAGAGAAAGGCACATGATTACAGCATGGTAGAGGCTTTTGGCTTTGTATTAGCAAAATAAACATCAGTGGTATTGTTATGGGTTGAATTTTGGTTACACCAAAATACATATGCTGAAGTTCTCACTCCCAGTATCCCAGAATGTAACTTTGTTTGGAAATAGGGTGTTTACAGAGGTAATCAACTTAAAATAAGGTCATTAAATGTTCCATAATCCAACATCACTGGTGTCCTCTACCAAGGGGAAAATTTAGAGACAGAGACAGACATGCACAGAGTGAAGACTATATGAAGAGATGCAAAGAATGCCCTATGAAGATGAAGGCAGACATTGGGATGATGCATCTAGTTAGGTAAGAAATGCCAGCAAATCACCAGAACCTAGGAG